ATACTGTTGTTGGAGTCTGTGGTGAATTTCAGTGGACGGGACGTTTTCTCCAACTAGGAATTTGATCACAATGCATTGTTCCACACTCCGTGGTACCTTCTCTTCATTCATCACTCTAGCAACTTCCAGACAGGACTGAACAGGTTCTATCCCTAACAGGAGGGAGGGTGGAGGTTGTGGCTTCACTCTTTCAAGGTCTCACAGCTGCTGTGCAGTGCGGCTTGTTTACAAAAAAAAAATCAGTCCCGGTCATATTTGAACCACCTAGTAGTATCGGTACTAGACAAAACAACAATTTGTTTCCCCCAAGTGTTTATGTGACTAAAGTTCAAAGGGGAGCTTATTACTCGGGCATAAAGATCTTTAATCACTTACCTGTGAAACTCAAAGAATTATCTAATGATCAAAAATCTCTTGAGGCAGCCTTCTTGTATGCTGGTTCTTATTACTCACTGAAAGAGTATTTTAATTATCAAACTCTTGAAACATAGATGTTGAAGTTTACATACCTTTTTTAGTTCTTTTAACTTCTTTTAACTTTTTGGTATGTTTACCTATACCTGTATCTGGTGGACAAGTGCCACATGGAGTACATTGTTGTAATTTGTTTCTAGCATAAAAACAGTCTGTATATTTCTTTTTTAATACATTTGGACAAGTGCCCTATTGCACAGTTAATCATGTATCAGAGTGTATTAATTATCACTGTATTTTTACTTCCAAGCATAAATACTGAATTGTACTTGTTTCTTTTATAACTTTTCTGGATTGTTAGTATATTTTTTTTTATTTGTTTTATTCGCATGTTATACAATTTGTTATGTATGTTGTTGACGAGTGCACTATTGCACAGCTATTTGCCTATATTTAATGATGGAAACTACATCCGCTGGAATTGTGATCCTTATGGATATGTGGTGGACTAATAAATGAATGAATGAATCGCTGAAGATGGAAGCGACGTGTTCCTCTGAAATATCTGTTGACTCTCAGTGGACTACATTGTGTTGTATCCCAGTAGAATGTAGTAAGTTCAAAATCAGGTTTCTGTGGAAAAGTGGCTGGCCTAGCAGGTAAAATCTGAGTACGGGGCTATGGCAGTGAATGTGTTAACTTGCCCATGTCGTGAATGGGCTAGCATATTTCTGGAACCCTCACTGATAGGCTGTGTGATTGCATTATGAATGGATGTTTAAAATTGAATGTTGTGGTTATGTGAATGGAGCTCCTGCTTTGCACTGGCTATCCTGATAGGTTGTTTGTGGCTTTCTTCAGTCTATCTAGGCAATGTTGGGATAGTATCTCAAATTAGGACATCATTGTTTTCTTTCACATCCTTTCAAAATCCATTATCCACTTTTCATTAAGAGGAGATTGAACTCAGGTAATGCTTGCTACCGTTCAGTCCAGAACCTTTTGTCTTCTGATCTGGTGTCTAAAAACATAAAAATTAGAATATACAGAAGTATGATTTTGCCTGACTGAGAGTGTTTGAGAACAGGGTGTTGAGGAGAATATTTGGACTGAAGAGAGATGAAGTGATAGGAGGTTGGAGAAAACTGCATAATGAGGAACTTCATAACTTGTTCTCTTCTCCAAGTATAATTAGAATGATCAAGTCAAGGAAGATGAGATGGACAGGGCATGTAGCATGAATGGGCGACGAGGAATGCATATAAAGTATTGGTGGGAAAGCCAGGAGGAAAGAGACCACTGGGAAGACCAAGGCATAGGTTGGTGGACAATATTAACCCCTTGAGCGTGACTTTTAGCGGAGCCATTTAAATCCCTAAGCTTGTGCGACGCACCGTCTGCGTCCACTGAAAGCCGTGCTGTAAGCGTGCGCGCCGAATATGTTGCGTCCAAATATTTCACTAAGAATTCTTAACGCCTACGCTCTGATGTGTGTACTTCCAGTGAATGTATATGTCAGCTAACACTCACGTCTTTCATTCCTCGCTATCTGTTTGTGTGTGGTATTTTTTTACTCGCTTTGCTTGGGACAAAGCATCTGGTGTCTGCTGCTTACAAAAGAATTGTTCCAACTCACACTCCGCTTGCTTACAGAGAGATAATTTGTTAGCTAACTTTCATTGAGTGCTTGTTATCTGTGTGTGTATTTTTTTATTACTGGCTTGGCTTACTGACGACAAAGAAGCTGTGTCTGATTTACGATGTTGCGAACCTAGGGGTCGAAGTTGCCTGACGCCTGTGTCAACATTTATGAATCTGTTATTCCTTTTCTGCTTTGCGACACCCTGGCAGAGTTATGCCAATGGATCTAAAAAAAGGAACTGAAGAAAGGAGTAGTTAGTACAAAGTGTGGGAAATTGGTGGCGTTGAAGTGGAAGGATAAGCGCTATGTCTCAGTGCTGACTACTAAACATTCAGACGAAATGCAACCCGTAAGTCGAAAGGGTGGGTTAGAATTTGTAAATAAACCTATGTGTGTAATAGAGTATAATAAATATATGGGAGGAACTGAAGAACTTGAAAGATCGGCTACTAGAAACATTCTTGCTAGAAAGGAAAAGGCAAAAAGCGTGGTACAAGAAATTATTCAACCACTTAGTAGATACGGCAGTGTTGAATGATTACATTCTGTACTGCAAGGCTGGTAACAAGAAAGATCATCTGTTATTCAGAATAAACTTAGTGAATAAGATCATAGCAAAGTCCCATGGACAGAATTTAGAAAAGCGCAAAGGGAGCCCTTCAGATACCGACATTGAATGTACGAGATTGACGGGTCAGCATTTCATTCAAGAAAATCCCAAAACCGAAATTTATAAAGTTGGAAGAAGAAGGTGTGTGGTGTCTACACAAAACGGAAAGAGAAAAGAAACCAGATACAGGTGTAAAAACAGCCCAGGGACACCGTCTCTCTGCCTAGACCCTTGTTTTGAGCAATACCTCACACACAGGTCAACCACTACACACATGATATGGAGAGCTGGGAAAAAGAAATAGCTTGACAAAATGTAAATAGACATTTATAATAATGAACTGTAAACAATTGTAAATATAATATATTTTTTTGGAATTTTTCAAATAGCGATTTTGTTATTTAAAAATATTTAGATAAATGTCTGCACAGAACCTTCAATGCTTGCGAAAATAAAGCACCGGGAGGGATTTAAATACCCCCGCATAAATGCATGCTAGATGCATGTAACTGAGTGGACGCATATGGTGCGTCGCACACGCTTGAGGGGTTAAAATGGATCTTAGAGAGATAGGATGGGGTGGTATGGATTGGATTGATCTGGCTCAGTATAGGGACCAATGGAGGGCTCTTGTGAACATGGTAATAAACCTTCCAGATTCCATAAAATGCTGGGAAATTCTTGAGTAGCTGCAGAATTGGCTGCTCCTCAAGAAGGACTCAGTTCCATGAGAGTTGCTTTTTTTTTTATTCCTAGTGGGGTGGGACTAAGTCTGCGGCCACTTCTGGCCTATTGTACCAGCCCCAGATGATAGGTGAGGGTGATTGTGGAGCAATTGGTGGAATGAAGATTGGCAGGGGAAACCAAAGTACTCGGAGAAAACCTGCCCCAGCGCCACTCAGCTCCATGAGTAAGTAAGTAAGTCATCGTATTGCTAAGAAACTTAATTCGATCAGTCATATAATATTTGGTGAGGACTATAAATCATGAAGCTTCTCATTAAGTAATTTTCTCTATGCACTTCTTACTTTCTCCCTCTTAGGTCCTCTTCTCAAACACCCTCAGGCATTTTGCACCCATATAAAACTACAGTGGGAAGCAGATTCATGATATATGGGCCATAATGTTTTTTTTTTTTCTGTGTGATGAAATATATGTTTTGATATGGTTGAATTTTGTGGTGATGAACTGAATTATAATGTTTGTAGTGTTTGTGTGGGTGTGTTTTTATGTGGTATTAGAAATATTCCACAGAATTTAATTCTTGTTTTTCTTTTAGCAACATAAGTGTAGACAGTGTTTGAATACAGTATTTCATAATTCCTTTGCAGAACCAAGGAAGCTATGAAGGGAAGTTTAAGTTTCCAACAGGCATTTGCTCGGCGCTTGGAAATTATTAAACCTCAGATGAACCAGATACGAGATTTTATTCGAACAAAACCTCCCAGATTGACTCCTGGAATTAAGTAAGTTGTTATTCAAACTAAACATCCTAGATTTTGTCTAATAGAATAGACATGACATGAAATGTGCTTCAGTTGTTAGTGTTAATGAGATAAATATTTTGCAGTATTAACATTTTAATTATTGTTAGCTACCCCTGAGAAAACTAATGGAAGTAAAGGTAACGTTGTCCCTGTGCTTAATTAGTTAAACACCACACCATGAAGACACATGCAGAAGTGTAAGTATAGATCTATATATTCTTAATCTTGGCACAAGATGGAGTTGAGTGGTCAGCTTCACATCCCAGCTACTTTACCTCAGGGATAAAGCTTCTAGTATGCATTAGGTAAGGCCGTGCCATAGCTCAAGCAGTTAGTTGCTGGCTTCCCACTGCGGCGGCCCGGGTCTGGTCAAGTGGAATTTGTGGTGGACAAAGTAGCGCTGGGGTCGGTTTTCTCCGAGTACCCCTCACTAAGCAAAAAATGCATTAGGTAGAAGGTTGTGTTGGCCCTACAGCTGGTCTGATTGCTGTGCATGCTTCCATGATTCATCAACCAACAACTGCAATCATAATGATGAATTATTTCTAGTCCTAAGCTCAATTTTAAGACTGTGTTAGAACCAATCCAGAACCAACACATAATTAGAGTAGAGATTTATATAACTGTATAGAATGAAATTGTAAAATATGGCTACATATTAAGGTAACTCAATTCAAGAACTTAAATTGATATTCTTGTGACTCGCCTGCTGATGACCTAGGTAAGGTCAGAACATATAGTGCAACACCTATGTATGATAACAAAAACAAATGTTGTTACATTAATATCTATTTTATGTTTTGTAAATATTATTGTTGTGTAGATGGCCCCATTTATGCTATTGTAAACTGTTGTGCAGAAGAGAAAAATCTCTTGCTACTGCCAGTAATCAAACCATGATTCCCCAGCTGTCCAATCCATAGCCAGGCACTATACTAACTGGGCTATACCAGCTCCCATTTGATGGAAGTTGATTTGAGAATATAGAACTAATGGCTGATGCAAGTATTTTTCTGTACGTCCTCATTTAATGCATTGACCTACAAAATCAGAACTCGGTGGTCAAAGTGAAACTGAAAGTTTGTTAAATGAGCCACTGGTCAAGAGATTTATAAATGATGATGTCTGAGGATTTCATTGCACTGAAACTTAATATTATGATCTTCTGTGTTATGACAGCATGTAATTTTGTAGGTGGTTATCAGTGTTTTGGGAAAGCCAGAAGGAAAGAGACCACTATGAAGACCAAGACATAGGTGGGTGGACAATATTAAAATTGATTTGAGAGGGATAGAGTGGGGTAGTATGGACTGGATCAATCTGACTCAGGATAGGAACCAGTGGAGGGTTCTCATGAACACGGTAATGAACCTTCGGGTTCCATAAAATGCTGGGAAGTGCCTGAGTGGCTTCTCAAGAAGGGCTCAGCTCCATGAAGTTAGTTAGTTGGTTATCTTTCTTTTGGAGGAACATATCGCTTCTGTAAATAAGGTCTGAAAGTTTGTGATGATGGTATATTAATATAATTATTGATGTTTTGGACATAATCCATCATCCTATATTTTTGAAATAAAAAACAGGACAATGGATAATGTATAAAAAGTCAATAATTATACTGCCACTGTCTTCCATTATCCTGAAGGCTGATGCTGTAGGTTCTTCTGAAATTACATCCATCTGTAAAACTGCGTGTTTTTACATAACCAAGAAAACTGCAGTCTTAGGTTCAGCATTCTTCATGTTGTTGAAGAGTAATTTTGTAATATGTTCTAGAGGTGCTACAAATGTGTTTGGTTTTGATCTTGCAGGCGGCTGGTGGAAGTGCTGCACCAACGAAGTGTGCCTGTGTACCTTATATCTGGTGGCTTGCGAGGGGTCATAACACCAGTAGCACTGGAATTAAACATACCATTACAAAACGTATATGCCAACAGATTAAAATTCTTTTTCAATGGCAAGTGTTAAAGGGTGTATTATGATGCATTAATTTTTAAATTATGTAAATTACAATGTGTTACTCAGTATGTCTCATCTTTAATATGGTCCTTGCTCTTGAGCTCATAATTTACTGTAATAAAAATATGTAATCTAATAGAAATGTAAATTTTGTAAATCATGTTTGCAAGCTGTTACTGAGGCCATGAAAAGAAGTCCCGTGAATATTTGGAATGACACCGCTTGGGGCTCTTCCGTTTCTCCCTACTGTTGTATTGTAGCATCCTGGGGCACTATTTTATAACTTGATTCATATTGTAGGAGTGACTTTAGATGCGGGTTTGGATCAATGAGTCAATTTATTGGATATTTACCGGTCAGAACTACAATTAATTATAACACATTCAATCTTGCTGTAACTGTAACACTTTGTAACTATGAACAATAACACTCTAAAGGTTACTGTAACTACACCACATAAAATAAAGACTTCATTTCAGACTTCTGACTTCTTCTGACTTGTTCCTCTGACTTCTTTCTTTCACTTCTGTCTCTGACATCTGTTTATAACTGTCATGCGGCCATGATAGCAGACACCACCTTGAAGAGTGTCAGTTTGCATATTCTTCTTTTAAGAAGTTGTTACTATGCAACCTCCCATTTGTTGCTGTGGTTATCATCTTCCAACAGTGAAACCGTGAACCATAGTAATTAGAACTGGTGTAGCAATGGACGCTTATTCTTGAATGCTTGGGAATGTGTTTACATATTCATTTCCTAGAAACAGCCCAATCGGTCACAATATATACACAATCCTAGTCTAGTGCTACCTGCTATGTGGTTCCTAGTTTAACCACTCTTATTTCATGTCTTTCCACTACTGCATGACATGTTTTGGTCCTACAAGGACCATTGTCAGATATATACAGATATACACAATCAACAAACAAATGTGTGATATTAAGATAGGTGCCACAGCACAGACCTTTTCATTTTTAACTTCTTAACTTCCCAGTTTTTAAAATTTGAGGACAATAAGAATGAGTAGTTCTGTGCAAGTTTTAAAGATAGAATTTAATGCATTATTAGCACGACACTCTAACCAACGAATTTAATACATACTGTGTGATCAGTGTAACAACAGTGTAACAGATAGACTTGAAAGGATTCTGACGATGGTGTATACTGTACTTCTTTCGGCTTATTTTGGACTTCATCCATCGTCTGGTATGTAAAAGACAAAAGACCACGATGTCTCCGAAACGTCGTGGTCTTTTGTCTTTTACATACCAGACGATGGATGAAGTCCAAAATAAGCCAAAAGAAGAACAGCGTAACAGTTTACGTGCCACGTGAGACCAAAACTTGTTGTGTAGTAGTGGATGAAGAACATGAAATAGGAGTGGTTTAACTAGGAACAGCACAGAAGGCTGTGTTTGTGTGCATATGTATCAAGCATTTCTCTCCAACCCTTTCTGGTCTGTATCAGTCTGTCCGATGTGCTTGTTGCTAGTGAAGATTATCATTTGATTGTCACCACCAGCATTCTTGTGAACAGAATGGCTAGATGACTGAAGAGCAATGTAGGAAAATATTCTGGAGGGGCAATCATAACAGCTTAAGAGCTCTGGATGGATTGATCCAGGGTTGTACTCTCTGTGATCTCTGTATAGTATTATTTTTTTAACTACTTCTGAAATATTTGACATAATTCAGTTTTATACAATGCATAACATAACATAACATAACAGCTTAAGAGCTCTGGATGGATTGATCCAGGGTTGTACTCTCTGTGATCTCTGTATAGTATTATTTTTTTAACTACTTCTGAAATATTTGACATAATTCAGTTTTATACAATGCATAACATAACATAACATAACATAACAGCTTAAGAGCTCTGGATGGATTGATCCAGGGTTGTACTCTCTGTGATCTCTGTATAGTATTATTTTTTTAACTACTTCTGAAATATTTGACATAATTCAGTTTTATACAATGCAGCCGTATAGAATTGGATTATAGAATTTTGCCATCACAGAAGTTATAAAATATGGTCATAAAATTCATGATGTGGATGATAAATTTTCTTGCATGCAAATTTTGGAATAATATTGAAACTTTTATAAATATATAATTTAAAACATCCAGCCAAAACTGCTTCTTAAAGATGTAATTATTTGTGAAGAAATGCAGATCATGTATGCATATGCATTGGTGATGTAGTAGGACATATAGCTGGCCATTGGCTAATTTGTGCATATGCATCAGTAATTTATGAGAATAACTGGTAATGTGGTTACTATTCAAATCTTAATTTAGATAGTGTAGTCTGGAGAGAGACCGCCAAGTTCAGGTGTAAGTAGTGTATTAAACAAGCATAGAAAAGTACCTGCTCTTATTTTCGATGCTTAAAAATGTATGTTTTTTTTACGGTTGTGACCCAAAAATATTTTACCTGTAATGTGGGAGCCTATGAAAAAATTTGCATTAAGGAATTTAACAAAAGAGACATCTGCAGGAACACATCCCTTCCTTAACATGGAGAGTTGTGTAATTATTGAATGGAAACATTGAAATTATGAATGTATTTATGTTTTGGTTTTTCTGACTCAGTTTCAGTTTTACTTTTCTTATAGTATTATTTTGAACAGGCGTGTAAGATGTATTCTAACAAATTTCAGGTGAGTTTGCTGGATTTGATGAAAATGAACCAACATCACGAAATGGTGGCAAGGCAGAGGTTATAAGGATGTTGAAGGAGAAACATGGCTACAGTAATGTGGTGCTGATTGGAGATGGTGCCACTGACCTAGAGGCATCTCCACCAGCTGATGCTTTCATTGGTTAGTATACTTGGCTGGCAGCTAAATGAGAACTTACTGGTTATTTGATTATTAATCTCCATTTACTTTTATCACGTATATATTTTGTATTTATTACAACCAGTTATTTCATGTTTCCGAATACTGTTTATTGTATGTTTCCTTCAAGTATTGCACTTCCAGATTCCTTAATCAGCATAATGACTGTATAGGATATATGGTACATATATGTGGTGTGTTCAAAAGTATCGAACCTTTGGTCGGCAGAAATACATTTATTGATTTGGAGGTACAAAACCCTAATCCCTTCAAAGTAGTCTCCTTGGTAATGCATACACTTCTCCCAATGCTTCTGCCATTGTTGGAAATGCTTCTGGAACGTGTCTTTTGGAATGGTGATCAGCCGGGCCGTCGCATTCCGCATGATGTCTTCTCTTGACTCAAATCGGGTTCCTTTCAGCGGCATTTTCAGCTGGGAAATAGCCAAAAGTCACACGGAGCCATGTCGGGGGAGTAGGGAGCCTGACGAACCACAGGGATGTTGTGTTTTGCGACGAAAGTCTGAATCAGATGCGCAGAATGGGCGGGTGCATTATCATGATAGAGCTGCCAAGTTTTTGCTGCCCACAGATCCGGTTGTTTGTGCTGCACAGCATCACGAAGGCGACGAAGGACCTCCTGGTAGTATTCCTTTCTGATGATTTGGCCTTGTGGTGCGTACTCATGATGCACAACCCCACAGGAGTCGAAGAAAATGGCCAACATGACCTTGACATTGCTGCAGACCTGCTGTGCTTTTTTTGGCCTTGGGGATGTCTGATGTTTCCACTGTGACGACTGCATCTTTGTTTCCGGGTTGTACCCATAAACCCACGACTCATCACCTGTGATCACGGTGTTCAGAAAGTTGGGGTTACTGTTTGCATTGTCCAGCATGTCCTGTACAATTTCCAGATGGCGTTGCTTCTGCTCCATTGTTAGCAGTTTCGGTACGAATTTCGTGGACACACTCCTCATGCCCAAATCCTCGGTCAAAATTGAATGTACTGATCCATTGCTTACCCCTATCTCGTTCGCAAGTTCTCGGAATGTGATACGACGGTCCTCCATGACCAAAGTCCGCACTTGCTCAATGAAATTCTCATTTCGGCTTGTTGAGGGTCTGCCTGAACGCGGTTCGCTGTCCACTGATGTGCGGCCATCTTTTAAGCGGTTGTACCACTCCTTTATCCATGAGTTGCTCATGGCATCGTCCCTGAAAGCCTGTTGAATCTTGTGAATTGTTTCCACTTGGGTATCGCCAAGCTTTTGGCAAAATTTGATGCAGTATCGCTGCTCATGTTGTTCTGTCATTTTACACCTTACTGGAATCCTACAAGCGCTCACTACACGTCCTCACTCATAGACCGACTGGCAGCAGCTGACGCTTTCTGCGGGCGGGAAAAAATCCACAACTGCTCATGAATGTCCGCTCCACATCTCCACTGAAGGGAGCCTCCCGCGCTTCATTGGTTTACCCGGGAAAAAAAGAAGGTTCAGTACTTTTGAACACACCACATATAATGGAGTCAGCCTACACAACAATATTTCTGGGGGGGGGGAGAAATATATATACAGTAGAACTTGGTTATAACGTCATCAAAGGGACCTAAAAATAGTGTCGTTATAAACGAATGTCGTTGTAACCGAAATGGGCACTTCCACAGTAGCCTTATGTTAGTCACGTAAAAATCTACCAAAAACCGAGTTAAAATGTTGCATTTTTTAGTGAAATACGTAGTTAAGTACATACTAATGTAACATTAACGTGGAATTCCCCAAATGTATAATATCAAAGACATATTACAGTGCTTTTCACTGACAATACACACAATATTTCACGAATCACTTTAACTTTCTCTTCAATGCTTA